GCACCTCCTAATGGTTGGGCCGGAAGATATCAGGATTTGTAGAGTCATGACAGGAGGATGCTTAGTTTGTCTCAAAACTCTAGCAAGCATGACCTATGAGACAAATTCCTATCGCGTAAAATTTCATATCCACACTATATACGTGGGTAAGATTTTGTGCCCGCACCTTCACCCATCCACTACCGGATTCAGCTTCAGGCACTCGGCAAAGGCCGATATACACTCGGCAAAGCCTTTGCCGAGTGCTCGATAAACAGTTTATCGGCAAAGACCTCTTTGCCGAGTGCACTTTATCGGGCACTCGGCAAATCCTTTGCCGAGTGCTAATCTGACACTCGGCAAAAAAAAGTTGCCGTGACGGCGAGCGCCACCGTGACGGCGGCTTTGCCGAGTGTCAAGGTCAAGCACTCGGCAAAGGTCGCCTCTTTGCCGAGCGCCGTTGACTCAGACACTCGGCAAAGGTGGCCACTGTGCCGAGTGCCACCGTCAAGACACTCGGCAAACAGGTGACCTTTGCCGAGTGCCTGGCCCGTGGCACTCGGCAAATCTGTGATGTTTGCCAAGTGCAATGGCCTGTGCACTCGGCAAAGCATGTTCCCAGGCATGTTCTCAGGTCGTCACTTTGCCGAGTGTCATGGCCATTGCACTCGGCAAAGTGACTGAAAACAACCTTTTTATTTGTTTTTTACATTCCATCCAAACAAACAGAAGATATATATAACAAATATCACCAACATCACATATATATCATCAACAGCACATATATATCACCAACATCACATATATATCATCAACGGCACATATATATCACCAACACCACATATATATCACAAACGTCACATATATATCACAAACGTCACATGTCTCACAATATATCACAAATAAGTTCACAAGTAATCCAAGTGCTCCATCATCTACAACCACAATTGCAAATAGAAGTACCATTAACAACCACAAGTATCATCACCAAGATGGCCAATGAGACTAATTTGGTGAAGGATTCGCTGAAGCATGAGGATAATTCGATGCCACCGATTGATTCTGCACAAAGGAGAAGAGATTGCATGTGTGAGATAAGATAAATATATACCATACATGAATAAAACTTTCATACTCCACTAGGTTTGACCATAAGCATGAACATACAAACTAAAACATTTATACTCACATGAGTAGAATAGTGAGGAGGTGGAGGTGGAGGTGGAGCGAATAGCGAAGGTGTCGGAACTACACCCGTTGCGGCGCCAAGACTTTGCATGTACTGAAGAATCTCCGCCATCCTCCGCTGCTCGGCCTCCACCCTCTCCACCTTCGCCTGCATCTGCTCCCGTATCCTCCTCTCTTGTTCCAGCTAGGCCTACAATATATTCACCCCAATGTTACAATAATGCAAAGGAAAGGTATGAAAAAACCAATGAACGACGAATAAACTAGAAATAACCTCGAGTGCCTCCACCCGGTGGTGTGAAGTGTCCTGTCGAGGTCGTATGGCCGGGCTCCTGCTCGTGCTGCTTGCTCGAATCTGGGAGAGACTGGGAGTAGTGGTCGAGTCGATTGCGCTGTCGCTAATCCAGTACCACCCATGCTTCTTGCCTCCTCCCACCCTCATGACGACTTCTCCATCAAGGTCCTCGATGCTCGGATCGTACTTTGACCCATGGACCTCCCTTGCCATCGATGTGTACTCACTGAGGCGGTTGTGGACGGTCGCATTGCTGTACGCCTCGGGCCTATCCTCCGGGTTGTAGTCGACGTCGGACGTCGCCTTGCCCTTGTGGGCCATAGCAAATGCCTTGAAGATGGAGCAAGGCTGGCCACCATGTGATGCCGACTGCGAGAAAAACAGAAAGATGATTAGAAATCATGCAGAATTGAGTGTTAGAATAAATAAATGAATTCGCGTAACCATGTTTCTGCGTATCCGCTGAGGTTGCGGCTGCCTTGATGGTGTGCTACACCTGGCATCATCAAACGCCGCTCCCGACACAAGTTGTGCGTCTCCTCCCACTCGCGTGAGCACCACTTGTCCACCATCTGTTCCCAGCACTGGGGATGCGCGGCGCACCAATAAGGAATCATCTACAGGCCATCAAGTACATGACATATTAGAAGATGAAATTAAGCCTACTTAATCTCAAAAGGAATAAGTATTAATGTTCTGTATTTACCTGCAGGTACTGGTCCCGGGTCAGCATCATGGTTCTTGTGTCCCTTTTGGTGACCTTCGTTCCAAGGACGGTCCCGTGGTAAGTTACAACGGCCTAGATGCGTGCCTCGTAATGCATGTCCACGACGAGTTTTTTGCAGCATTTGGTAGCCACCGTATCCGCCCTGCCCTCATGTTCGTCCTGACATCTAAAGAAATCCTGCATACAAACACGATGTATCCATTCATTATTTCAAGAATATCCAATGAATGCGATGTATTGAGCAATGTAGTGCGAGGAAGACTTACTCACAGCTCTTGCTTCACCCCCTCCGCCTTGTTGTTGAATACCCTGCGGGCCCGATCTGCTGAAGATCGGGGTGGCGGCGTAGTGGTCAAACGAGTAGGCGCCCCGTCACCCCAAACAGACTCAACAGGCCGCGAAATGCTCCTTGCATAGAAGATCGAGGATGCCATTGACTTGGCGTGTGTGACCACCTCCACTCGCCACAACTGTCCAGTTCTTGCCCAAGTGATTAAGAAAAATTATTAGTTTCTATTTTGATTTTCAACATATCATATAAAGTAGTGATAACATCTAAAATTACTTACTTTTTCCCCTCATGTCGAATCAACGGGCGTCTCTCACGAGGTATCGGTCGCTAAGGGAGGCTCGCGGGACTTCGCAAGTAGACGCTCGACGAACTAGAGGAAGCGGAACCCCCCGTCGTCGCCTCCTCCTCGTCGTCCTCCTGCGCCTCCTCGGCGTCCTCCTAGGGCACCTGCTCCTCCTCCTCCTCACGCGACGGGGCGGCAGGCGACGACTCCCTCCTGCGGCTGCTCCTCCTCCTCCTCCCACCGCCCACCATCTTTTCTGTGGCTTATAAGTCGGCTGATGCACCCACACATTCAGTGTGGTATTAATAACACTCCTACACATATTCCAATTATCCTACCTAGCTTTAAATTGTTAAATACTTCAACCAGACAAGAAATTGTTGTAAATAAAGATATGTTTGTTTAGAGATAATTAGAGATGGAAACAAACTCTAGGATTCTTTCCAACAGAAATGTCAGGCAGCTCACATCAACTTAAGTTTGTTGCCTTATGCCTTGATTTGTAATATGAGTAGCCATGTGTATGATAAAAACTTGAAAGCTAATAATATAATCACTTCTAGGAATTTGACTAGCATCTTCATTACTTCTGCATTTCAATGCGACTGACAAAAATTAACCCAAGTGGACCATCAAGTGCTCTTGGCATTAAAAACTTCCATCAATTTTTCTGACAGTTATTTAATGTAAGAGATATCTCGGTCTGCAGATGGGTAACAATAGATTGCCTTGAAATCAACGATAAGACTTGCAAGTCCCTTTTCTATTCTTGGCCATGCTTGCTTATTTCTGTTCTTGGCCATGCTTGCTTGGATAAGCTTTGGCTTCAGCCTAGCTCGCATTGATGTTCTCGGCAGTTGGGGTGGATGGGAATCTACAATCCCTTTTCTATTCTATCTAGGATTAGATGGCTTGAATCTAATTATGTGCAGATTGTGTTGATTTCTTAATTCACTTATAGCTGTGTGATAAGAGTCATCTTGAGGGGGAGGATATGCATGCTAGAACTTCAGGGGAGTGTCGAATCAGGAATCAGGTTTATCAGTGCGTAAACTTGTTGATATGAGCTAAATGCTTGCTGAAGCATCTTTCCTATGAGGACCTGACAACTGACAGGCACAAAATTAATGATTTATAATGCTGATCCACTCTTGGTAAAACAAAAGTTTTCTAGAGTATTTTTTCAGAGTCCAAACATCTGAGATGTAAAAAAACTGGCTGATGACGATAATGAGATAATCCACTGAAACCAGATACTACTTGGCACTCTGCCTGCAATAGATGTAAATCTGTATCTGATAAAGGAGTAGAATTGCCACCAATTACCCTTGTTCTTTAGCTTGTCATTGTCAATTCAGCTAATTCAGTGCTAGCTACTTGCCACAAAGGTTAATTAGGTGTCCGTTCATCTGATTTCTCAGACGCAAAATGTTGTTTGGAGCTCAGTTACAATTTGGGATATAGGATAACTACAACTATGGACACATACTGAAATCCTCACCCACAAAATTATACATGCCTGCACGCCAAACAATTACATAGGAAACTAATAGATAGTTACAAGAATTTCTATGGTGCAATTGCAACTTGGAAAAAAACAGCTTTAGGACTAGCTGCTGAAAATGGGTACTGTACTTGCAGAGAACAATGCGCTAGAAAATAGCAAGAGCTCACAACTGCTACTAAAAATACAGAAAACAACAATGTTGGCTGAACTCAGGTGCAGCTGAAGAAACAATGCTCAAGCAAACTGATCAGTCCAACTTGAGCAGCAGAACAACAAAGTACATTTCTCAAGCAAAGAGAATAAATTAAGCTTCAGTCACTGACTAATGATTGCTTGAAAAGATGGTTCCCCTATTGCATCAAAATGACATAACAAAAAGGATGAAGCCTTGGTAGCCAGTTGTTACACACGAACTGAGCAAAGTCTCAGGCAAACTTGACAAGCAGCAGGATATTAATTCATACAGAGCAAGATTAAGGCTACAACTCTCACAGGGATTAAATAAATCAAATAAGTGCTTGCAAGAATGAAACCTGAAGAAATCAAACTCAAGCATCCAACATTCAGATATTGCAAACAGGAGGATTTTCATTCACAGCCAGTGCTTACCAAAAGATCAAACAGCAGTTCACAACACTAGAGATAATACATCAGTTCAACAGATAATAGAAAAGTTGCACACAATACATTTATTCAACTCTAGTTCAACTCAAGTTTAACACACGCTCCTTAGTCTTCATTGTTCGAGGGGCTGATGAATCCTCTGCGCTCCATGATTTGCCGCTGCATGCCCGGATAATAGTTTTTCAGATAAAGGGGGACCTTCTCAATGTCAACTGACATAATACTAGACTCAGCTGATATCAGGTGAGCCTCTGACTCCTCTCTAATCGCATTTTCCTTCTTTTTCTGTTGTACACTCATCTTCATATGCTTCTTCTGAAGGTTGAAAAGATCCTTTTGAATTCTAATTTTTTCATCCTTCCTACTAAGGATTTCAGTCATTTGCTGATCTTGCTTTCATTCGGTCTTCTCTCGATTTCTCCTGCAAGAACCGTTGGAGGACTTCAATAAATTGTACTAGATGACGATGTCTCTGTGAAGCTCTTTGATCTACGCCTCTTCGCACTATCCCTACCCTCAGGACATGATGTGTCTATATTCTCATTCCCAGATTCTGCATGGCCAGCCACACTATGGCTTTGAGTTGGAGATGACATTCCATCCGGTGATGTACAGTTGTTTAGCTCAAGAAACTTATTGTTCCATTTGGCCTCATTGCGAAGTTTTTTCCAGCAATGCATGATGGTAAAAGGTTCTGTCCTCTCGTACATTTGTACAGCATCATCAATCTGTACATATGAATATAGACTAAACCGATTCAAAAAATAAACATATGAAAATTAGAGAGATGGAGGACAACATGAGTGGAAGTATACCCGATCCTGCTCATTTTTTCCGCTCTCATTCAGCCTATCAATAGCTTCTTTGTGCCCACAGAACTTGTTCATCGCTTTCTGAATCAATGCCCACCTATGCTGAATTGCAATCTGGCTACGGTTGGACCCTTCAGGCTTATGCTCATTGAAATAATCATGCATCCTCTTGTAATAACCACCTGAAGTCTGATTCGTACCTGCATGTTATGCCACCATGTTATTTGGGCATCAAAGGGTCAAAGATTTCTTAAAAGACGTTGCAAACTATTACCAGTAATAGGGTCTTTGCTAATATTCAGAAATGCCGAACACACCACCAAGTCCTCTTTGGTGAATGCAGTTCCTCTCTGGACACGTTTTTTTCTTCTTTGCGCCCTCTATGATTTCAATGATGGAGGGTCCGAGAGCCATGGGTGTAAATCAATGGAGAACCCCGACTAAGTTGCCCATTCATAGGTGGGTAGGACATCTGGGAGGAGCCATGCATGTTGAACTAGTGATGAAAAGAACTGTTAATCATTGATGTATTGATATGTAAATAGAACAAACCATCATGCATGGCTGCAATAAACCTGGGGTTTGGAGGAACATCCAAAGATTGCAAAGCAGCAGAATAACCAAAAGGCCATTGATCTGCCCCAAAGATTTCTCCAGATTCGCCAACGCGACCACTTGTGCCACTAAAAATGTTATCCATCGTCCTGTTCAAAGAGATTGAATAATGGTGATGCACAACAAGAAGCAAAAGAATATATCAGCACAGACGATGCATTTGGTTTTTCCATCCATAGGCAATTTGGTCCCTATCTAAAACCACCAGCAACATATATGCCACGGGGAAGTAGTCAACAAGACAAGTCTTCTACTGTATTTAATATTATTTAGTTTAAGATGTCTCATAGAGTAACACGGACACTTCCTTCCTTGCAAGCCCATCACCAATGTCACAAGCTTGAAAGTGTAGATGAATCGTAGTTATTCAGCAAGAATATGTAATCAAAGGCAAGGTAAGCATATACTATTTTGAAGTGGAAAAAACAGTTCAGTGGAAGAAGCCAAGTACTAGGATGTCGGATGCGATTTAAGAACGCTGTTCCACTTTTAGCAACCCATCACCACCACCAGAAAAAAAGCCTAAGATCTGCGAGCAACAATGGACCTGCAGTTCGGGCAGATGCAACACATCAGCACATAGTGGTAGTAGGAAGGAAGAGAAAATAGATGCAAAGTACACCGAAGTGTAAAGTGAAAATTTCACAAGCCTCATGAACCCACAGAGTGACAAGGATCCTAGAAATCTAGAGCACTGGGAAGAATCAGAGGTTCCAGTATTTTCTATTGAATCCACATCGGACAGTACCATAGCGCACACCAAGAACTACGAATCCTCCAAAGCTATATGCGAATCACAGTGCTCTGTTTTCCAAATAGATAACCCAACTAAAAAAACGTCCATTGCCGCAAGAACAAAATATGAGGGCGAACTCTCATAGAGAAACCTACCTGAGACGAAAGCCACAAGCGGAATTATGTCGCCATCGCAAACGCCAGAGTTCCTCGGACGACGACGACGGGCAAGCGCAGCGCAGACGACTCCGGCCGCAGCAACCGCAAAGAAAGGCAGGGGCAGTAGGGAGCCGCAAGAACCTCGGTATGAGAGACAAACGTATGAGATTCGAGATCTAGGATTCTAAACGGGAGGGCGGCGAGTTCGTATTCAACACCTGGAGAAGGAGATAAAGAACAGGAGCTACTACTACCACCAGCGGGAGGACGCGGCGGTGGGGCGGAGGGATCCGTGCCTGCGAAGCCTAGCTCGGTGCAGATCTCGCCGACGGCGACTCGCTGGGGCGCTTCTTTTCCTTCCCGCGAAACGGTTGCGCACGGTTGCGCGGGCGTGACAGAGATATGGGTCGATGAGAGAGACGGACACTTATTTGGGTTGCCATTCGACACCGACACATACTGCGTCTTCGGTTTGCCTACTCAGTTGGACCTTGTTTTTTTCATCGGAACCAACATGGACTATGCATGTTTAGGTTTGGGTGAGGCCGTTGAGACCGTCTAAGAACTAAACTTTGATACGTGTGTGGAACTAGTCACTCGCTCCACCAGCCACACAAAGAGTGAACCCGACTTGAAGCAAGCTCAAAGCAAGCCGTATTCAGTCAGACAACACGTGTACAGAACACATGGAACCATTGCCGTTTGGTTTGCTCGAGATACAATTCCATAAACGAAATACACAACTCATGTAGTAACATTCGCATATGTATATCCATGAATTACTTATAACGATCAATTAACAATCGGACTAACATTCTGCTAGCAAAATTTATCCATAAAATTAAAAAAAAACAAATACACAACTAATGTAGTGAATCCTCGTTGCTAAGATCGATAAATCAAAACCGCGAGAAGCAACTATTACCTGGTGCCGCCTTCGCCGCAGGACGGGGCGTCGGAGAGAGCGCTGCCAAGCTCTTGGCCTCCTCTCCTCCTCCTCCTCTCTTTCTCCTCCTCCTCCGGCGGCGCGGGTGCGGACGGTGGCGGCGGCGGCTCTGGCGCGTGGTCTGCCTGCGTGCGTGTGTGCGGTGTGTGTGGGCCGGCTGGGCCGGCGGGTTAAATCCCCCTTTGCCGAATGCCCCTGATCTGGTACTCGGCAAACTATTTTTTTTTAATTTTTTTAAATTCTTTGCTGAGTGCCACCCGGCCTGGCACTCGGCAAAGAGGGGTTCTTTTAAAATTTTTTAAAATTCTTTGCCGAGTGCCATACGTCCTGACACTCGGCAAAGTGGTGATTTGCCGAGTGTCATTTTTTGACACTCGGCAAACTATATTTTTTTCTTCACTTTTGACCTCCAAACTTTTTCTGCAGTCCTCATACAATACCTGGTACTCCATGTTTCAATGTGGCACATTTCTCGGACTTTTTCTATATTTCTTTAATTTATTTCATTTAATTGAAGTTTCTTTGATAATTCAAATTATAACCGCTAGTCATTCGAACAATGAAAAAAATGAATGGAAAAATGATATTCATGTTATTTAGTATAATGTGAGGCCGTATCCTAGAATAGACCACCAATTTCGAACATCTTGTTCACGAAACACGACCACGAACTTGCGGTCGAGTTGTTTTTAAATTCTATAAAAAGCAAACGAAGACCAAAAATCTTGAAACTTGTGGAGATGTCATGATATCATATGTGGAGGCTGTGATAAAAAATTAAGGAGGTTTCGCGCAAGTTTGTCACGTACGATGCTTACCACCTCGTCGCCCTCTTCACGAAATCATGAAACTTCTTCGGAGATTCTTTGGTTTGCAAGCATCGTGTGTGACAACTTACGCGAAACCTTCTCAAATTTTTATCACAGCCTCCACATATGATATCACGACATCTTGACAAGTTTCATGATTTTCGGACTTCGTTTGCTTTTTATAGAATTTAAAAACAACTCGACCGCAAGTTCGTGGTCATGTTTCGTGAACAAGATTTTCAAAATTGGTGGTCTGTTCCTGAATACAGCCTCACATTATACTAAATAACATGAATATCATTTTTTTCATTCATTTTTTTTCATTGTTCGAATGACTAGTAGTTATAATTTGAATTATCAAAGAAAATTTAATTAAATAAAATAAATTAAAGAAATATAGAAAAAGTCCGAGAAATGTGCTACATTGGAACATGGAGCACCAGGTATTATATGGCAAAGGGTTAACGGCGGCTGCCGGCCGTTAACGGCGACGGCCCTTTGCCGAGTGTTCTGGTTTGCCGAGTGCCCAACACTCAGCAAACCTGGTCTTTGCTGAGTGTTATTGTTTGCCGAGTGCCAGTTGTTTGCCGAGTGCTTTCTCTCTGTCACTCGGCAAATAGCCTCTTTTCCGAGTGCCCGATAAAAAGCACTCGGCAAAGTATGGGACACTCGACAAAGGAGCCGTCTCCGGTAGTGATCGGGTATGATACCCATGGATACCCACATTCGCAAGATAGATTATCACTAAAATAAATGAAATCATTTGTATTTTTAGCCCATTCGCTGGTCTAAAATTTAGCTAAAACTAACTGATCGTTGTGAGAGAAAAACACTGTTACGACTGAAAGTGTGTGAAAAAATACACAGTAATCGGTGAGACAACCAGCCGGCTGGTCTGAACAAATCAGACCAGCGAACGGCGCCCAAACTGCCGAGCACAATACCCGTGGGTATCCGCACCCGCAGGTAGAATTTCCATCCCTACCCGCCCAATCACTCTAGTTATAGCCCGGTGGGAATAAGGGTACGTTATTATTTAACTAATTAAGGATCTTTTTTTGGAATGCATGTAAATCTAAGGAATACAGGAATGGAGTTGTACGCCACTTGCAATCTTACGTGAATTAGAAATGTTTAGATTTTTTAATGAAGCATTTGGGTACAATAATCGATAAACACGTGAATTTGAGAAGAGATCGAGGGATAAACACAAAGGGCATGAAGATCGAGTTGCATGCAGATAAATGTACTAAAATTGCAGATAGACAATATAACGAGGGATTTGTAATGGCATGATCATGCTGCATGCTAGCTGCCTCGTATTTTACTCTGTATGCAATGCACACAGGTAGTTATTTACTAATAAATAATAATAAGCGCACGCACAAATGGCAGCGGAATAATAATAAGTAATCAATCACGAGAGCGTGGGCATGGCGGCCGCCTCCTTGCTCAGTTGCTCTTGGCCTTGGTCTCCCGCTGGCCGAGGAACGGCGCGTCGGCGTTGGCGTCACTGCAGTAGAGGCAGGGGTGCTGCTGGAACCCCTGCTCGCCGAGCACCTCCCTGGCGCGGCGCACCACCTCCCGGTTGCTCATCGGCGCCGGGTGCACCGCCAGCACGGCCTGCAGTGCGGCGGTGAACGCCCCGCACGCCGCCTTGCTGCCGTCCGCCTCCACGTCCGCCGACAGCTCGTCCTTCTGGCACCCGCTCAGCAGGATCCCGGCGTCGGCGTCGTCGGTGCGCTCGCCGCCGCTGCTGTTGCCGTGACGGTGGAAGTGGAACTTGGCGCTGGCGTCGGCGCCGAATAGCGCCACGAGGTGGTCGGCGACGTGGTGCGACGCGCCCAGGCCTGACGCGCCCGACAGGTGGCCGAGCACCGCGGCGTACGGGAGGAACCGGACGGCGTGGGCGTGGAGGTCGGGGTCAGCGGCGGCGGCGTCGGGGCCGATCTGCTCCTTCTCCTGGTCGATGAGGCCGCCGCTGTGGCACGAGTCGGACACCATGGTGAAGGTGGCGCCCCGCGGCACGCGGTCCACCAGCTCCCGGAAGTCCACGTCTGCCGTGCGGCACCGACGTCGCGCGCGCGATCGAGCGTGCATGCAAGCATGTCTGTGAGATGTCTGAAAGGACGACGCGCCAGCCAAGCGTGCGTGCATGGAACTATGGGAGTGCTTGGATGTGCGTAGACGGACACAGACCTCTGATGAGGTTGAAGTCGCAGGGCACGATGGCCTCGTCGTCGCGGCCGCCATGGCCGCTGACGGGCGGGACGAGCGTGCCGTGCCCGCTGAAGTGGAAGAAGAGCACGTCCCCGGGCGCCGCGCGCGCCACCATGTCGGCCAGCGCTTGCCTGACGCCGGCGCCGATCGGGAGCACGGCGCCGGCGCCGGGATCGTCGGTGAGCACGGTGACATCGCCCGGCGCGAAGCCGAAGCGGTCGAGGAGGACGGTGCGCGTGGCGTGGACGTCGTTGATGCAGCCCTGCAGCTCGTTCTCCGTGCCGGCGTAGTTGCACCCCACCAGGGTGGCCAGCATCTTCTTCTTCCCCGCCTCCATTGCTGTCTTCTACTTCTTCTAGCTCTAGCTCTACCGTACCCGCTATTGGTGTGTGCTTCAGTGAGACAGAGACATCGATCTCTGCGCGGGCCTCCATTATAAATAGGCTTGGTGATCACCAGTGCTCTAGCTCTACCGTACCTGTGTTGCTTGCGTTGTGGATGCAAGCTAGCTAAGGACACATTTGCCTTTGGACTTTGTAGTAAAGTAAGCAGCTGGAGTGGGGGTGGCTGGCTGCCATGCCAATGCCATATCCCAATCGAGAGCTGCTGCGTGATCGGCTTGCATTTCATGCACTTGCAGACTTACAGTCAGATCAGATTCGATCAGATGGATGAACCATCACGCACAACTTCATCCCAACGAGGCAAAGACGTAGAGATGTAAAGCTTAAGCACGGACGGTTCGGCGAGAAGGATTTCATAAAGAGGACGACTCGTCGTACCGAGAATGTACAGGATAACAGGGAGAATGGAAGATAACGAACATCGACCGTCCATTCATCCCAGCTGATCAGAGCCTGAGACGTACGTGAACAATGCAATTGGCTAGGTCGTCAACAATCGTCCTTTGAAGCCGGGGAGCTTGCGTGCAAGAAATGATTGTGTCCCAAAGATCACTGCCATATTGCCTTTTGAACTTCCATTCATGGCTACAGTGTGAACCTCCTTTTTGCAGGTAATAAGCATGATTTGATTCCTCATTTGTGAGGAAGAAGACGAAAATTATTTTTCATCATCTGAAAACTATTATATAAATTATATAATGTTTTCTTTTTGCGAATATATATGACCTTCCTGTCATGTAATTAGTGTAAGACTTGTCTTGGTTCAGTTTGCTTCTTCGCCAGGCTAATCCATCTTTGTTCCTTGTAACGACGACTAATAAGGTCTTGTTTGTGAGGCCTGCCATGTTCCCACCGGCATTGACTTCTGCACTGTAGCATGCACAAAAGTGGCAAGTGCAGCCCAAGTCGGTATACACTGTGGTCTCGTTCGCTGGTCTGAAATCGTCGCTGGTTCGGCTGAAGCTGAATGGGCCGTCCGGCCCAGCCGTTCAGCTGCCCAGACCAGCCGTTCGGCTGGCCTAGAGAAATCAGCTCGCGCCCTCCTCACTCCCCCCCTCTCGCATTCGCTCGCGCCGTTAGGGTTGCACCGCTCCCACGCTCCCGCCACCGACGCGGTGAGTTCTTCGCCCGCCAGCCCATTCCCCCGCCGCCGCCTGGCCCACCGCTGTCCTTCTCCTGTCCACCTCCCCCTTCACCCCTGCCGGAGACGGAAGCCGCCATCCACCTGGCCCGTGTCGCCGGATTCGGTGCGTCCTTGACCTACCAGATCTGCCGCGTCGCCCGCCCACCATTGTTCTTCTTTCTCCCGTCACACCCTTTCCTCCCCTTGCTGGAGACGGAAGCCGCCATCCACCTGGCCCGTGTCGCCGGATTCGGTGCGGCCTTGCCCTACCACATCCGCCGTGTCGTCCTCGCCTTGTTGTTGGACAGATCCACCCCCTTCGTCGGCTACGGCCTCACCTCCGACCACTCTGGTAAGTACCCGATTTGCTTCAACTTTCTGCCGACTCCTTTGTTTGGTGTTGTTCCCAGACCTGACTTGGAGTCGCTGCATGTACATTAGATCCGTCGTTTCCTATCCCATTTTTGCTACAAACTTGTAGATCCGTTTCGTTAGGGTTGATGTTCCTGGTCACAAGTGTGGATTCCTATGTAGAGCCAGATTGTTAGGGTCACCTAGTCCTTGCACATCCGCTGCATTGAGGGTTAGTATGAACGCCATTACTTTTTACTGTTTCCCTTTACACTTTCTTCCCGTAGTTTCTCATGTAGTCTACTGTTGTATGCGTTGTAAATCTGCCAGTTTAGCTTATGGCTTATGAATAATGCATCAATGAATGATTCACAATGGTCTTCCTCGGGTTGCTTGTGATGTAACTCTAGTTGGTTCATTGCGTTCATGAAATGCATTTTAATTTCAGTCATTAGTCTACTTCTTTTATCCTGGCTACACTATGTTGTCAGTCCAGTTCGCACATAGTTTTTGCTCCGAATGTAGACAATGAGATGGGATTACTTATGTTCACATAAAGCTCTTACAGATTCACATGTTTGTCATGTAGGTTTTCTGTTTCCAAGTCTATATACTGGCACCGTCGTCAACAGCTTCGTGCTCCCCGTCGGAATCCCCCCGATACAACTTGCGTTCAAAGCGCCAGAAGCGAGAAATCAAGGCAAGTCCACAATTCTGTCCATTCAATCTTGTTTGAGTTATTTCGTTCATTCCTTTAGTTTTTTTGCAGTACCGTTACTACGTCTAGCCACAAACGACAATAGCCCTTCCACGTTCCAGCAGATGCCTCCAAAGCGTACAACGTGGATCGAGGATGAAACCAAGCTGTTGCTGGACCTCTGTCTTTAAGAGAAGGAAAAGTGTAACTTCACTCAGCAGGGTCTCACCACGGCTGGCTGGAGCAACGTTTACACTAACTTCCCCAATTTTGATAAGAAACAGTGCAACAACAAGCTGCAGTACCTAAAAAAGGCCTACCAGACATGGAAAGATGGGCTGATAGCCATCGGGCTTGGGATGAACCCACATACGAGCGCCATTGAAGCTGAGAGTGAGTACTAGGAAACTCAAGAAGGTTCCCAGCCCATGAACTCGGTACGTTATCTTGTTAACAGTTCCGATTACATCGGCTATACTGTTTAACATTATGTCCTCCTATTTTTTTGTTTATTTTTTGTAGGATGATACTCAGGCAGAGGCACAACGTGGTAGGCAACCTCGCTTCCTAGACCAATTGGAGGCGCTGTTTGGGGACCGCAACCGGAACACGGGCTGCTTCGTGTCCGCTGGTGGTATTCGGGAGTCAACGCCCCCTGCTGCTTTCTGTCGGCTAGACTTAGGCGGCCCTTCCAGCAACCATTCTGGTTCGAAGAGGGACACCAGGGACCATGTTGTCAACAGCCCAGAGAAGAAGAAGAATTGCAATGTGGGGGAGTACATTGCCCGGTTGTCTGACAACATTGCTGCAAGGAGCGCATCAAGGGATAGGGAGCGGACCCGTGAACAGGTGGAGGTGGACGAAGCTATGCAACTTTTACGAGAAGATGGTGTGCCAGCCACTTCAGACATGTTCTTCGTGGCAACGGATTTGTTCAATAACTCAGTGCCCCGGCGGGTGTTCAAGAACCTGCTGACAACCGAAGAACGTATGGCTTGGCTGACATTTCAAATGAACAAGACCAACAAGTAGCAGCTGGGATGTTGAATTTGGTGTGAAGCAACGGTGGCATTTCAGTGTCGGCATTTATCGTTTAGATTCGTTGTTGTCGTACTTGTGTTGAGGTTTCTGTCTTGTAACGGGGCCTGTGGCCAAAAACCATGTGTCGTATTCTTTTTCCCGAACTCGTTATAAGTTGTTTGATGTGATGTATTTGTTTGAGTTGTCTGAGATTATTTGGTTCTTGAAGCTAACAAATATTTCATTGTTACCATATGCTTTAATTTGTTACTTGTGTTGCAGGTAAGTGTGGGACTGCTTGTAGAGGTACTCACTGAACGGCGAGCTTGCAGGTGTGTATGCCTATTGATAACTCCAATAATTTAGTCTTCTAAGACTCTAAAGCTTATTTTGGGCATAACAATAGGTGGCCTCGTGATTGTATTTCCTAAACTGGATGCAGTCCTACTGGTTTTGTATCCAGTACACACCTTGTCTTGTTTACTATCTTTGCTACTGAGCTTCTTGCCATCAGTGAGAAGCCTATTTACTGGATCCGGTGGTACTGCCTATCTAATATTAGATGTTATTTGTGCACATATTTCACTCTGTTATTTCACTCTGGGTGTATTCAACTTGCAGTTTAAATTTTATTTGTCCTTGGCAGCCTATTGGAACATGGACAATAACGACGAGGAAAGCCAGAATTCAAGTGAAAACAGCTTCAACGAGATGGTGACCGCAGCTATTGGTGCTGGTTTTGCATTTGTGCACATGCTGCATGTACCACCACAAGGTAACCATGTTATCCAAGTGCCTGAGCTTACTGGAAGACAGTGGGTAGAGAAGCTGTTGTCGATATTTGGCAGATGCTATGATAACTACCGAATGCGGCCTGAAAATTTGGTTAGGTTGCATAGCATACTATGTGATAGCTATGGGCTAACAGGCAATAGGGAGCTTGAGTCAATAGAAGCTTTAGCCATGTTCTTATGGGCATGTGGTATAAATCAATGCCAGAGACAAATGCATGAGAGATTTGGGAGGGGGCTGGGGACATGTAGCAAGATATTTGCCCATATTCTGGCTGCCATGACTAGGTTTGCAAATGACGTGATTAGGCCTAAGGACTCTACTTATTCAGCAGTGCCGCCTGCATTGGTGGAGTACACACCGTTTTTTGATGGCTGCATAGGCGCCATGGATGGCACGCACATAGAAGTCATAGTTGATAAAGGAGTCCGTGATAACCACATTAATAGGAAAGGAAAGCCAACCCAAAATGTGGTTGTGGTATGTGACTTCGACATGAGGTTCACGTATGTGGGGGCGGGGACAGAGGGTTCTGCTCATGATATGCGGGTGAAAAGAAAGGCAGAAGCCGATGAGTCTTTCCCACATCCACCGTCAGGTTAGTTGGAACTTAGTCCGTTTTCTTGTGTCATGCTGGAGCTAATTGGATGGAAACTGATGCTGTCCTATGAATTTATGCAGGCCGGTATTACTTGGTGGACTCCGGTTACGCACTTCGCCCCGGGTATCTGACGCCGTATCCAAATAAGAGGTACTGGGTGAAGGAGTTCCAGACCAGGGGGCCTGCAGATGTGCAGGAGTTGTTCAACCGGCACCATTCGAAGCTGCGTAATGTCATAGAAAGAACGTTTGGGGCAGCAAAAGCGAAGTGGCACATGTTGAAAGGCATACCTCACTATCCGGGGATCAAGCAAACCCAGATAATTATTGCTCTTTGTGGACTGCACAAC